AGCCTTCTAGGGTTTTTTGTGCTCTACTTTAGCACCTTGGTGTCTGATTCTTTTTCTTCTGCTTCTTGTTCTAACTCTGCTGCCATGTGATTACCCTCTCTACTACCCTTGTGGCCTCTGCATGCTCCCATGAGCAGTGTTGTGTGGGATTCTCTATGTTTGCATCACTCTTCCATTTTTTCTTCATTCCCTGTTCTCAGCCCTCCAGTGGCTTCTCATCTCACTGAGAATGAAATTCAAAGTCCATGTTGAAGCCTCTGAAACTCCACACGACCTGGCCTGTGCTCCCTCTCTGTTTCAGTTCCTATCCCTCCCCTCGTGCTCACAGTGTTCAGCCACATTGACCTCCGTGCTCTTCTTCATACATACTTACATGTTCCCATCTCTGAACCTTTGTACGTGCTCTTCTCTCTACCTGGAATGGCCTTTTTCCCGGTATCTTCTTGCTTCCCTTCTTCATTACACTGGCCAGTTTTTCAGAAGTAGACTGCTCCTTCTTCCTTGTCTGTCTTAGTCTGGAAGCTCTGCTGGAACCTGTGCACCATGGGTGACCCTGCTGATATTTGAAATACCAGTGGCATAGCTTCTAGCATCACAGCAACACGCAAGCCACCATAGTATGACAAACTGAGAGGCACATGGTGGCCAACATATGACCTTGGGTATATCCCTCCTAAATTTGGGGACCATCTCCAAAATAGATTTGACACATTGAACACTAATGACCGAACACCACACGAGTTGTGGGATGACATCAAGGACATCATACATGAAGAAAGCAAAAGGTCATTAAAAAGACAGGAGAGAAAGAAAAGACCAAAATGAATGTCAAATGAGACTCTGAAACTTGCTCTTGCAAAGCGAATGGAAGAAATGATGACGTAAAAGAGCTGAACAGAAGATTTCAAAGGGAAGCTCTAGAAAACAAAGTATTATAATGAAAAATGCAAAGACCTGGAGTTTGAAAACCAAAAGGAAAGAACACACTTGGCTGAACTTTCTCAAGCTGAAAAAACTGAAGAAAAAATTCAAGCCTTGATTTGCAATCTTGAAGGATTCTATGGGCAAAATATTGAACGATGCAGGAAGCATCAAGGGAAGATGGAAACAATACACAGAGTCACCATACCAAAAAGAATTGGTCGATGTGCAACCATTTCAGGAGGTAGCATATGATCAAGAACTGATGGTACTGAAGGAAGAAGTCCAACCTGCATTGAAGGCATTGGTGAAAAACAAGGCTCCAGGAATTGATGGAATACCAGCTGAGATGGTTCAACAAACAGATGCAGCACTGGAGATGCTCACTTGTCTATGCCAAGATATTTTCAGTTGCCTCATAAGCATACGAAAGATGGACAGTGAATAAGGAAGACTGAAGAAGAATTGATGCCTGAATTATGGTGTTGGCAGAGAATATTGAACATACCAGGGTCTGCCAGAAGAATGAACAAATCTGTCTTGTTTAATGTACAGCCAGAATGCTCTTTGGAAGCGAGGATGGCGAGACTTCTTCTCACGTACTTTGGACATGCTATCAGGAGGGACCAGTCCCTGAGGAAGGACATCATGCTGGATAAGGCAGACGGTCAGTGAAAAAGAGGAAGACGCTCAGTGGCTGCAACAATGGGCTCAAACTTAGCAACGACTGTGAGGATAGCACAGGACTGGGCAGTGTTTCATTCTGTTGTACATAGGGTTGTGATGAGTCGGAACCAACTCAATGGCACCTAACAACAACAACAAGCGTTCGGCTACTAACCAAAAGGTCGACAGTTTGAATCCACCAGCCACTCCTTGGAAACCTTATGGGGCAGTTGTACTCTGTCCTGTAGTGTTGCTATGAGTCGCATCGACTTGACTGCACCCAACAACTTCTTCATTAAGGCCTCTGTTAAATATCACCTCCTCAGAGAGGCTTTCGTAACCACCTTATCTAAAGTGGAATTACCCACCCTGATATTCTGGCTCCTTTTTCTGTTTTATTTATTTATTTTTATGAGACTTTTCTCTACATGATGTCACAATATACATTTCTTTCTCATTTGGTTATTTCCTCTCTCTCCCACTGGAATGTTAACTCCTTGAGGCCAGGACTTGGTGTGTAGTATGTACTGCTGTGTCCTCAGTGCCTAGAATAGGGCTTGGAACATGGTGGGCACTTACTGTTGACATACTGTGTAATTCACATTCAGACTTCCCAAGAGGAGGGGTCTGTTGGGTTGTCCAGTATTGAGTGCATCTGTTGACTAAGATGCTAGGCCAACTTCCCCACAACTCCCTGGTCAGCTGACGGACAGGCGCCCATCCCTGGTACATCCAGCCAGCTGTGGCTGGGACAGTAGGACATGTGGTTGTCTTTTTTTCCACTTGGCATGGGCTAGTCCCTTCCAAAGTTTTAAATTTCAACTCCTATCTCATGAGGAAAAATTTGCCAGACCCAGTACTGTGGAACAGTTGCCTCCTATTTTGAGCTAAGTGTCTGGAGGAATGATAGGAAGCAGTATTTTGACTTTCTTGATCTTCTTTATGTTCTCTTGCTTGTGTTATCCTGGCTCATACACTTGTGTGCTTATTCTTCTCTGGTTCTTGACCTTAGTCTGCCCCTCCTCCTCCATTTTCCTTTCTTGCCCTCCTTCTTCCCTCTTGCCCTTCTGTCTCACCTGTACTTTTGTTCACCCTCTGGATCATTCCAGAGCCTACTTACCTTGAGTTCCTACATCTGAGAAACCTTTCAGTTAGTTCATTTGCTTGTGTACTCTTTTCTCTCTTTTGTTCCTTATAGCTGGTAAGGTGTGAGGAAGAGAACTGAGCTGGAGAGTCGTTCCTCCATCCTTTCATTCAACTAGTATTTGAAAACCTACATTGTACAAGGCTTTGTGCTGCGTGCTGGCTACCCATAAACAAAACACTCAGGTGCTTTGTTTACTGGTGAGGAGTATAGGTAGGGAGACAATTTGAGTATTTATTATTAATTATTTCAACAAATACTTACTGAGACTAGGTTACAGTGGTGGGTATGGGTGAAAACAAAAATGCTTCTTACTCTCATGGACCTTACAGTTTGGTGAGAAAGACACACATTAAGTAGACAATTACACAAGCAAATGTTAAATTACAGCTATGGTGAGTCCTATGGAGCAAGGCTCCATGGTGCTATGAGAATATATACTGGGGGATTTGTTCTGGTCCGGAGAGCCAGGGCCGGCTTCCTTGAGGGAGTGAATGGTGAACTGAGATCTGAAGACGGAGTAAGAATTAACTAGGCACGAGCAGCTGGGGGGAAAGGGAATGGCAGAGGCACAAATGCTTGGAGCATGTCAGGAAATGAAAGCTTAGACAGCAGAGCAGAGTGACCAAATGAGGTTAGGTAGGCTGGGGTCAGACAGCACAGAGCTTGGTAGGCCATTTAAGGGCCTTAGTCCTTACCCTGTGAGCACCAAGTTGCCTTTGAAGTGCTGTAGGCAGGAGAGGAGGGGAGAACGGTATAAAAACGATTTTTGTTTTTAAAACACTAGTCTGAGTGCTGCGGAGAATAAGTGGAGGTAGGTGGAGGTGTAAGGCGTAAGAAAGCATGTGGGGATGCCAGTTAGAAGGCTGTAGCAGTAGTTTAGATGGGAGGTTAGTTTGAGGGTGAACAAGGATTTTAAGTTTCCAAATCTACTTTGGCTTCTTATTAAATGCATTTATTTACACCCCCCCAATTTTTTTTTTATTTTATAATTGTCATACTGTAAAAGACACAGATTCAATAAAACTTAAGTCTATTCCAATGAGACTTAAATGATGGAATTACGCCAGAAAATCCAGATACAGGAAATAACTGCAGCTGAGTACTGAAGTTAGTCCTAAGCTCCTATGCTGAGGGAGCCAAGGCATAAAAGGAAATAGGACAGGTCATGTGATTGTTTAACAAAAGGACACATGCTAATTAAGCAAGGGTTATAATCTTTTCCTTACTCTAAACATTTAAAATTATTATAGAAATGACATTAAACAATCTGGATAACTCAAGGCTTCAACTCTTGAGATCATGACCTTAACGTGTTTTTGGTAGCAGGTCATACTGGTGTTTCTACAAGTAAAATTTTTAGCAAAATAAAGAGCTGAACTACACATATGCATTTCATATTAGACCCCTTGCTAAAGTTGACGAGGAGAGGTGTGGAGGGAAGCAAAGGATAATACCCACTGCTGTTGAGTTAATTCCGACTCAGGGTGACCCCATGTGTGCAGAGTAGAACGGCTCCATAGGTTTTCAAGGCTGTGACCTTTCAGAAGCAGATCATCAGGCCTTTCTTCTGAGTTGCCTCTGGGTGGGTTTGAACCCCCAACCTTTCAGTTAGTAGTCGAGCACTTAACCATTTGTGCCACACAGGGACTCCCATAGAGGAAGTAAAAATGTAGATCCGGTAAGAAGCCCTGATGCAACCGTGGGCACAAAGTAAACCCTTAATATACTTCTTCGAGGACCTTGTCTTGTCATCCCAGATGCTTTTCGCCTTGTCTCTCTAGAAGCCATTTAATTTGTGTCCACAAATACTTATCCATAGAGGGGATAAGAGGGTACTGTGTAAACTGTATACATAAACACACACCAGTTGTTTCAGAATTACAAGCAGTGATAAGACTTCTGGGATGAGGACTAGACTATCCAACCTGATTGGGACACACGCAGCAACACTTGTACAGTTTTGGCAATTGAAAGGTGTTATTATTTATAGATGCATAGTTAGGGACAAAGAATGTCATGCACAGAAGTGGCAGCTTTATTTCTCAGATGTTCACATCCCAACCACTAAAAAAAACATACTTCCAGAGTCAAGAATGTTAAAAAAAGAAAAAAAAATCATTTCAGATTATTTTAATGAAGTCGTTTGGGGTTCCCAGTGACTGTCCTATGAGTTCTCTGCCCCTGGGGCCTGTTCTCCGAGCGCTCCCTTCCCAGCCTGGTACTCAGCTGGCAGCTTCCGCTATACTGCCTGCTCTTCTGTATCATGTTAGGTCCAGGAGGGTCCCAGGAGAGGCAGAGAGAGCAGTACAGTTGGGAGTAGGAAGTCAGATAAGTTCAGATTCTTGGGATGTAAAACCTCAGCTCTTGAGATGGTGGCATTAATCCATTTTTGGTAGTAGATCACACTAGTGTAGACTCCAGGAAGAGTTTGACCACAGCCTATTCCCCAGCTCACCAGTCCTATCTGGATCCACACATTGTCAATGAGACATGACAGAGGCCCTCCAGAATCACCCTAGGGGAGAGATAAAGGTCATGAGTATAGTGAAAAGGGGCGGTGAAGAGGAGAGAGAAAGGTCAGAAGGGATGGAGAATTCCTTAGAACCAGACAATGAAGCCCATAGGGATACAAATCTCTAGAGGGAGCTGGCCTGCCCACTGCATTATGGGGAGGTCATGGCAATTTCAGAATCAGAGTTTGAAATTGGGAGTGATCTTAGCTAAATATGCCAGTAGTTTCAGAATGCTCCTCTGCAATAAAATATTTGCCGGTAAATGGTGAAATAAGAGAAATCAGATTAATAGGATGAGTTTCTCACTAAAGCTAGAATATATTCAATTGAATGAACTGCTCTTATTTTTCTGTTCTTAAATTCTTCCTACCTTTTTTATTAGCATTAAAATAATCCTTTTAAAAAAATAATAGTGATAGTAGTTGGTAGTATGTTTCCCAGTCTCTGACTTTTTGTTGTAACAGCTTTATTGAGATATAATTCACACAGCGTGTAAACTGTGTGCGTAAACACACACCAAACCCATTGTGGTCAAGTTGGTTCCAACTCGTAGTGACCCTGTAGGACAGAGTAGAACTGCCCCATAGCGTTTTCAAGGCTATAAATCTTTATGGAAGCAGACTGCCATACCGAGGAGTGGCTGGTGGGTTCGAAACAGCCACCTTTTGGTTAGCAGCCACGTGCTTAACCACTGTGCCACCAGGGCTCCAAACACACACCAGTTGCCTGAGAACTACAAGCAACAGTAAGACTTCTGGGATGAGAACTCTAGTGTCCAATCTGATTGGGTCATACACACAGGCACTTACACAGTGTTGGCAGTTAAAAGGTGTTATTATTTATAGAAGGTAAATAGTAAACAACAAGAACGGGTTACTTACAGAAAGCAAACAGTAAACAACAGGAACAGATCTGAGGTGAACCGGACCCCTCCACTCCTGCAAGTACCCCACTTAGCTTCGTAGGGGAGGAATCCACTTATGTCTAAAAGAGGACCTGCTCACCCTTCCCAAATTACCCATGTCCATTTCTGTGTTACTGGGCAGGCACACCTGGATTAGGTGTCAGCAGGTGTCTCTCTGTCTCTCTCAGCAGGGTGTGTCATCACCTCAGGTCAGGTGCAGCGTAGCTGTGGTTGCTCTCTCTCTGGCTTTTCTTGACTGGGTCTGTCCCATGTACGTACTGGTCCAGCTCTCAACTAGCAGCTTCAGGACAACCCTGGGCCAATGCCAGGGTTAGACCGGCATTATAACACCTCTTAAGGCAACACTTTATGGGCAGCCCCTGTGCAGTATATGCCCAAGTCTCTGCAGGCCTCTTTTTTGCCCCCTCAGGTCACAGCTCTCAGCACAGCTGGAGCATCAGCCACCACCACAGGCAGGCCACCTCAGCCTCCGCTGCTGCTTGCTCTGCTCGGGCATCCACCTGAATGGGTGTGGACTGTAGCTCTATCCTCTACAGGGCACCCAGCTCCATTGGCAGCCTCCTGCCTGAGATGCCCAGCTCTGCTCTGTGGCTCAACTGGCTACCCGCCAGTCTTGTGGTTCTTGCTACTCATACCCCTACCAGCGTTTCTCTGGCACGTGGCTCTGCTGTGCTTACTGCCAATTCTGTTGGTCTTCAGTGTTATCAGCTCAGTGTTACAGCCCTTGACCCGTACTATAGCTCTTTTACCCAGGTCTAGGAGGTTCTCTGGGGCCCTGGTGGCAAAGTGGCTAAGCGTTATGGCTGCTAACAAAAAGGTCTCCATTTTGAATCTGCTAGCTGCTCCTTGGAAAGCCTAAGGGGCAGTTCTACCCTCTCCTATAGGGTTGCTATGAGTCGGAATCAACTTGATGGCAATGGGTTTCAGGTTTCTCCACGCAGGGATCCCTGGTCCAAAGGATGTGCTTCTCTCCAGGCTCTTGTTGATCAGGAGGTCCCCAGAAAACCTCTGTGAGATTAGCCGCTTATATAGGAAAACTCCTTGTCAATTTCAAGGCGTGGTTTTCATAAATCAACCAGTCCTACTGGGTGGATTGCAAGCCACTTATGCAGATAGCAAAACGATCAATCCTTGCAGGTGCTTATGCGTATAGCAAACCTACTAATCCTTTAACAGATTGTGGCCTGACCAATAATTATGGGAGAAGTACAAACCTGGGCTAGAAGGGCCACATAAAAGAAACCCATTGCACTACACACCGTGTAATTCAGCCATTAAAGTGTACAATTTAATGGTTTTTATTATATTCACAGTGTTATGCAACTGGTTACCACAAACCATTTTAGAACACTTTCATCACCCCCAGAAGAAATCGTGTTCCCATTAGCTGTCACCCGTACTTCCCCTCAGCTCCTCCAGCCCTAGGCAACCAATAATCTACTTTCTGTCTCTGGATTTTCTTATTCTGGACATTTCATATAATAGGATCAAACAGTATATAGTCATTTGTGTCTGGCTTCCTTCGCTTGGCATAATATTTTCAAGTTTCACCATGTTGTAGCATGTGTCATACTACATCTCTTTTTATGGATGAATAATATTCCATTGTATGAATATACTATATATTGTTTACCCATTCACAGGTTGATGGACATTTGGGTTGTTTCCACTTTTTAGCTATTATGAAACATGCTGTTAGGAATATTCATGCACAAGTTTTTATGTGAACATATGTTTTCATTTCTCTTGGGTGTATACCTAGCAGTGTTATTGTTTGGAGGTATGGTAACTACATTTAACATTTTGAGGAAATGCCAGTGTTTTCCAAAGTGCTTCTACCATTTTACATTCCCATCATCAGTGCATAAGAGTGCCAGCTCCTCTTCATCCTCATCAACTCTTGTTATTATCTGTCTTTTTGATTATAGCCTTCCTAGTGGGTGTGAGGAGCCCTCATGGTGCTGTGGTTAAGAGCTCGGCTGCTAACCAAAAGGTTGGCAGTTTGAATCCACCAGCTGCTCCTTGGAAACCCTATAGGGCAGTTCTGCTCTGTCCTACAGAGTCACTATGAATGGGAATCGAGTCAACATTGGCAACGGGTTTGGGTTTTGGTTAGTGGTTGTGAAGTGGTATCTCATTGTGGTTTTAATTTGCATTTTCCTGATGACTACTGATTTTAAGCAGTTTTCATGTGCTTATTGGCCATTTGTAAATCTTCCTTGGAGAAAAATCTGTTCAAATTCTTTGCCCAGTTTTTAATTGGGTTATCTTTTTATTAATTTTTATATGTCAGTTTATCAATATTTATTATTGAATTGTGAATATCCTTTATATATTCTAGATACAGGTCCGTTATCAGATATATGATTTACAAATATTTCCTGCCATTCTATAGGTTACCTTTTCACTTTCTTAATGGTCTCCTTTGAATCACAGAAGTGGCAGTCTGCTTCTGTAAAGATTTACAGCCTTGAAAACCTTATGGGGCAATTCTGCTCCGTCCTATAGGGTCAGTATGAGTTGGAATCGACTTCATGGCAGTGGGTTTTTGGTTTTTATATATGTCCAGCTTTTTATGCCAGTACCACACTGTCTTGATTACTGTAGCTTTGAAATAGGGAAGTATGAGGCTTCCAGCTTTGTTCTTCTTTTTCAAGACTTTTGGCTCCTCTAGGTCCCTTGAATTTCCAAATGAATTTTAGCATCAGCTTGTCAATTTTGTAAAGAAACCAGCTGGAATTTTGATAGGGATTGCGTTGAATCTGTAGGTCAATTTAAAGACTGTTGTCATCTTAACAATATTAAGTCTTCTGATCCATGAACGTGGAATATTTTTCCATTTGTTTCTGTCATCTTTAATTTCTTCTTGCAAAGTTTTGTAGTGTTCAGAGAGTAAGTTTGACACTTCTTTTGTTAAATTTATTCCTAAGTATTTCATTCTTGTTGATACTATTGTAAATGGAATTATTTTCTTAATTTTATTTTCAGGTTGTACATTGCAAGTGTGTTGAACTATAATTGCTTTCTGTATATTATTCTTGTATCTTGCAACGTTGCTGAACTAGTTTATTCTAGAAGTTTTTTTTTGTGGATTCTTTCAGATTTTCTGTATATAAGATCATGTCATACGTGAATAGAAATAGTTTTACTTCTTTCCTTCCAATCTGGATGCCATTTGTTTCTTTTTCTTGCTTAATTGCCCTGGCTAGAACCTTCAGTACAATGTTGGATAGATGTGGCAAGAGTCCTTGTTTTTTTTCCTAATTTTGGTGGGAAAGTATTCAGTCTTTCACTATTAAGTATGATGTTAGCTCTGGGTTTTTCGTAGACGCACTTTGTCATGTTGAGGAAGTTTCCGTCTATTCCAAGTTTGTTGAGTGTTGTTATCATGAAGGAGTGTCAGATTTTGTCCAGTGCTTTTTCTTTAGATAATCATGCGGTTTTTGTTCTTTATTCTGTCTATGTGGTACATAACATTAATAGATTTTTGGATGTTAAACAAACCTCACATTCCTGCGATAAATTCTGCTTGGTCATGGTATTATATCCACTTCTTATATGTGCTGAATTTAGTTTGCTAGTAATTTGTTGAGGATTTTTCTGCCTATCTTCAAAGGACATATTTGTCTGTAGTTTTCTTTTCTTGTGATGTCTTTGTCTGAGTAATATTAGTTTTATAGAATAAGTTGGGAAGAGTTTCCTCTTCAGTTTTTTGGAAGAGCTTAGAGTAATTGGTATTAATTCTTCTTTAAATGTTTGGTAGAATTTACCAGTGAAACCATGTGGGTCCTGGGCTTTTCTTTATGGGTAGGTTGTTGTTTTTTAAATACTAATTCAATCTCTTTACTTATTTTAGAGCTGTTTAGATTTTCTATTTCGTGGACAACATATAAAAGCCAGATGTCTGAAGGTACTGTAGAGTGACCAAAAGCAGGCAGAAACTGGAGAGGAGTCAATTCTTGGAAGAAGAGAAGACATTGGATTTTTCTTTTTAATGTTTTTTTCCCCTGGATCAGGCCCTATCATTACTCTAGATTGTGGCTGGAACTTAAGTAGAAACCCACAGTCTCACTGGTTTGAGGAATCAGAGGACAGAGTTCAGGGCTAATACAGCAGTTGGAAAGTGAAGGTAGAAATCCCACAAAGGGAGAGCAACAGAGAGGGAGCCCCAGATTCTCCATATAAACTCTGTTCAAATCTCTGGCTAACCACTGAGCTACATACATCCATGCAGGTTAGACTTCAGGTAGCCCAGCTAGGGCTAAAAGAACTGAACAGAGATTTCAGCTGCTGCCTACCACAGGAGAAACCCAATTTGGAATTTGAAATCAACCAAGTTAACCGCCTGTTAAAATACAAAATCAGCATTCTTCAGAGGAACATAACAATCCATATTCTCTACAGCATATCACTGACAGCATCCAGTATACAATCTAAAATTATCAGACATTAAAAAAAAGGAAAATTTTCCAAGAAAAACAGAAAAATGTTACTTGAGAAAAAGCAATCAGTGGAAATTAATTCTGAGATAGCTCAGTTTTTGAAATTAGCAGATAAAGATTTTAAAGCAGCTGCTAATACTATGTTCAACAAATGTAAAGGAAAATATGCTCATAATGAATGCACAGATAGGAAATCTGGGCTCATGTAGAAAAGTATATGTGTGTGTATAAAACCAATGGACATTTTAGAACTAAAAAATGAAGTATCTGAAATTAAAAAAAAAAAAAAAACACTAGATGAACTTGACAGCAAAGTGTAGATAAAAGGGAAAAGAGGCAGTGGTCTTGAATATAAATTAATAAAAGTATCCAATTTGAAGAGGAGAGAAAAAAAGTTTAAAAGGGCTTATTAAAAAGGTGTAACAGTATTAAAAGTTATAGCTTACAAGTTTCTGGTTTTAACCAGAAAGGGAGAAGAAAGAAATGAGGCAAAATAATATTTGAAGAAATCATGACTAAAATTTCCCAAGTTTTAATGAAAGACATAAATGTGTGGAATAAAACACAAAAACAAAAAATATGAACCTCAAATAGGATAATTACAAAGAAAATCACACCTAGCACATCATGTTCAAACTGCTGGCAATCAAAGATAAAGAAAAAAATACAGAAAGCAGCCAGAGCAAAACAACACATTAAACACAATTAAAAAATGGGCAAAGGATATGAACAGATACTTCACCAAAGAAGACATTCAGGCGGCTAACAGGTACATAAGGAAATGCTCACGATCATTACTCATGAAAGAAATCCAAATTAAAACTATAATGAGATACCATCTCAATCTAAAAAACACAAAATAATAACTGTTGGAGAGGTTGTGGAGAGACTGGAACACTTACACACTGCTGGTGGGAATGTAAAATGTTACAGTCACTTTGGAAATCAATTTGGTACTTCCTTTAAAAGCTAGAAATAGAAGTTCCATATGATCCAGCGATCCCATACTCCTTGGAATATATTCTAGAGAAATAAAAGCCATCGCACAAATAGATACATGCACACTCATGTTCATTGCAGCACTGTTCACAATAGCAAAAATATGGAAACAACCTAGGTGCCCATCAATAGATGAATGGATAAACAAATTATGGTATATTCACACAATGGAATACTACGCAACAATAAAGAACAATGATGAATCCGTGAAACATCTGACAATATAGATGACTCTGGAGGGCATTATGCTGAGTGAAATTAGTCGCAAAAGGCCAAATATTGTATGAGACCACTATTATAAGAACTCAAGAAAGAGTTTAAACACAGAAGAAAACATTCTTTGATGGTTATGAGAGTGGGGAGGAGGGACAGGATAATTCACTAACTAGATAGTAGACAAGAATCATCTGAGGTGAAGGGAAGGACAACACACAACACAGGGGAAGTCAGCACAAATGGACTAAACCAAAAGCTAAGAAGTTTCCTGAACACAAGCAAACACTTTGAGGGACAGAGTAGCTGGGGCTGGGGTCTAGGGAGCATGGTTTCGGGGGACATCTAGTTCAACTGGCATAACAAAGTTTATTAAGAAAATGTTTTGCATCCCACTTTGATGAGTGGTGTCTGGGGTCTTAAAAGCTTGGGAGTGACCATCTAAGATGCATCAATTGGTCCTAACCCACCTGGAGCAAAGGAGAATGAAGTACACCAAAGACACAAGGAAAATATTAGCCCAGGAGACAAAAGGGCCACATAAACCAGAGACTCCATCAGCCTGAGACCAGAAGAACTAGATGGTGCCTGGCTACCGTCAATGACTGTCCTGACAGGGAACGCAACAGAGAGCCTCTGACGGAGTGGGAGAATAGTGCAGAGCAGAACTCAAATTCACATAAAAAGACCAGACTTAATGGTCTGACTGAGACTGGAGGAACCCCCAAAGCCACGGTCCCTGGAGGATCTGTTAACCCAGAACTAAAACCATTCCTGAAGCCCACTCTTCAGACCAAGATTAGAGTGCACATAAAACATAAAATAATACTCGTGAGGAGTGTGCTTCTTAGTTTAGACAGATACACAAGACCAAAAAGACGGCTCGTGTCCGGAGGCAGGATGAGAAGGCAGGAAGGGACAGGAACTTTTTGAATGGACACGAAACCTGGGGTGGAAAGGGGGAGGGTGCTGCCACATAGTAGAGATTGCAACTAATGTCACATAACAATATGTATATAAGTTTTTGTATGAGAAACAGACTAGAGTTGTAAACTTTCACCTAAAGCACAATTAAAAAAAAAAAAAAGAAATGCCAATAGAGGGAGAGTAAAGGGGTGGGAAGATGATTAAAAAAACAAAACACATTATGCACAATAGAACAAAGATAGAAATGGTAAATGATTTTTCATCAGACAGTTATGATCAGAAGACAATTGAAAGATGTTTGTAAATGCAGATGAAATGTTCTTATTTTAAAGTAAAATAGCAACTATATGTAAACCTCTCTGTGTATTTATGAAATATTACAGGTCTTTAAAAATACAGAGACTGTGGTTAACATTAACCTAGATCAACAACCTTGTAGTTGAAGAAATTAAATTCATAGATATAGGTTATGTATCCAGGGTCACACAAAGAATTATTGTCAGGACTCCTGTCTTCTGACTCTCAGTCCACTGATGTTTACAGATAGAAAAACCTAGACCCAAATTAAAACATCATGTTAAAAAAGAAAAAAAAAGTCCTAAGAGCAAACCCTAACCTTGCAACTGTCCTTCATACTGTTGGTATTACCGGCACAAATCATGTCTTCTTTGATGACTGGCTCCGATCCTGGAAGGTAGATACCGACTGGGTTGTAAAGTCGGTCACAAGCCTTGTGGTTAATAACGGGCACTTCTGCTGCCTGGAGAGTGGAATAGAAATCAGTACCTGTAGAAATAGAAGGAACGAAAGGTTAAAATAAGCTGGAAAAGTATGGGGCAACATTCAGTCATGATGTACAGAAGTCTCTGAGTGGAAATCCAAAAGTAGAATATAATCACTTTCCAATCATATTTGCTAATGAAAAGATCTTTTGGTACAGTTAATTTAAAACATTAGATAATGGAAAATCATGTGTTTGACTTTGGAATGTTTGAGGTTTTTCTAATGTACAAATGTAGGGTACTCCTAATGTTCTAAATAAAGAGTAATTCTAATAAATTCTGATAGATTAAGTAAAGATATTACTTCTATTCTAAAACGGTTTCATTTTTCTGCCCCCAATTCCTGTCTTGTCTCTACTCCAGCCTGGTAAAGAGTTGACACAACATTTTCAAAACAGATTAAAAACACTGGATTATCACCAAAGTTTACATCAGGTTTATTAACTCCTATTTGCGAGAGGTAATTAGGTTATTTAGATTGTTAGTATCTGCTTGTCCAGCTATAGCTAGATTCTAGGCAGGATATAAATGTAAATAAAATAGACATATAATTGTTTCAAAAAAAGATATTTAAAGACATAGATAATATCAATAGATTGATCTGGTTTTATTGAAAAATATTTGCCATAGTAATGATACACCTAGAATGTGAATGTTCTGGAGTAGGTACAAGAGGGCAAAGTACAAAATAACCCTTCTCACCTTTCATTTTCTTTGTTTCCCCCCATCCAGTCACCCAACAAGAGGCTGGAATTGTCAAATGCTCTTTGATGGTGGGCAAGCAGATGGGCAGGGTGACAGATGTGAAGGGGACTGGGGAGTACAGTTTCAGCAACGCGATGTCTGCAGTTGTTTCGTGGAAGTTGGGGTGGATGATGACTTTGGACACATAGTACTGCAAGCCTTCACTGGAATAGTCTGCATAAATTGATCCCAGCCACACAGTGTATGTAAAAATAGTCCAGGTCCTAAGGGGGAAGAGAAGGAGAAGAAAAGTGGAGCATGCTTATGTGCTACAGCTGGGTCAGAACAAGCTGCTGATGTGTAGCAAGAAGTCTCTAGTCAAGAAAGGGGGGGAACAGACTGGTAATGAATGAGGGTGTTTCCATCTTGAATTAGGGTTGCTTTGTCTCCTTCTTTCTACCCTACCCTGCTCCCTGCCTCCCATTCTGACCACTCTTTGTTTTGTTGCCCACTCTTTCTGTGGTCACTTGTTAAATGTTTATGACCAGCATTTTATTCTGCACTCTTTCCCTGGTTCCCTCATTTGCCTCGCCCATTCCTCGTGGTTTCAGCCATTACCTGTACGCTCAATAGTCATCATTCCTTATTGCCAGTTCTGATTTCTGTTCTGAGCACAAGACTTTTATTTCTAAATAAATTTTTAAACTAAAGTTACACATATTCACAACTTAAACCATCAAGTAGTTAGATCAGACTTAAAAAAAAAATTAATAAGAAACAGAAGTTTTCTGCCCCACCACCCTCAATTGACTCTTATCCAGAAGCAATTTCTTTTGACTCTTTTAGCATCTGCCCTAGTATTTTCAAGAAGCCCTATATATTGCTATTTCTTGATTTCTTCCCCCCAGTTTGACTTCTAAGAAAGGTGCGGATTGAGCTTTTTTACACACCCTGCCCACCACCTTCAACTTCCTTTCCACTCATCCTCCTGACCTAGTATTATCATAATTTTTTGTTAGATCAGTAATTAATGTGTGTGTGCTTGTAACTATGCAAACATACTGGGTCACATTCCAAAAAAAAAAAACCCATTGCCGTCAAGTCGATTCCAACTCATAGCGATCCTATTGGACAGAGTAGAACTGCCCCATAGGGTCCAAGGAGTGGCTGGTGGATTTGAACTGCCAACCTTTTGGTTAGCAGCTGAACGCTTAACCACTGCGCCACCAGGGCTCCAATTTTAGGTTAGT